ATTTTACGCTAAATATTTCAAAAAAAGGCAAACCTGTGGGAGTGCCTGCGGGAAAACTATGGGCTTTAGCGAAACAAGCAAAAGGGACTGTAACTGAAGTTACTATTATTTATAACTTCTTGAAATTCCAGAGATTTTTATTCTAATGACAAAATGATCATACTTAATGACCATAATAATTTTATTTATATTTAACAGTGATAGATGACAAAACATGGCGGAGAACTTCATGCAACCAAGTTCATGTGACTTCTGTGCTTGAACTGCCAGTAAAGAGAGCTCAGCTATTAAGATTAGTCCTGCCATTTTCTTGACGTGTGTTTTCCCTGTATTCTGTAATTCAAATTACTTGTTCAAAATATGAGACAGTCCTCTCTCAACAGGAATGGGCAGCACAGGGCACAAGCAGTATCAAGCAAGAGCTTGGGATATATTAGCAGGGAAAGTGATCACTGGGGGGGGCAGGGAGAGGACCAGGAGAGGATATGGGGTCAGGCACAGCAGGATCTAACTGCTGCAGAACACCTTCCTCAAGAAATGGGGATGAAGTCCTTGCTCCCAAAGCCTGCTATTCCACAATGTCAAAAACATCTAACCCACTGGCAAAGTGTGGGTCTTTATCTCCCTCTTCTGTTAATACCACATAGACTGTGACAATGTTATAATGCAATTAGTTATATCACAAACTTGAGAAGACACCTGTGCTGTTACTCTAAGATTCCTCAGTCCTACAGATTGTTTATGTAAGGATTAATATAGCTGTACCTCAAAAACCCTATTTAAGAGAGCAATCTGGCTTCAAAGTCAAGATCTTGCAGAAGCAGCAAGTGTGTAACAGAAGTCAGTCAAGTGTGTAACATTCCTTTGGTCTCCTGGAGTTTAATTTATTTAACTTTAATTATATGAAACAATATAGACTGAGACATGGATTCCTCTCTAATCAATGGAGAGAAAGGCACCTCCAAAACACAATTTTATCCTAAAAAGATGCATGTTTTTCCATTGAATAGAGATGATGCCAGACAACCACACCAGACCAGTCATGTTAATTTTGGCTGGCTAAGGTTGCACTCTAAGATGAATCTCATACCCTATACTCAAATGTTATGATTAAGTTTTGATTTACATGACTTAATTCTATGCTACTGTTTCCAGAAGAATATCTGGCTCATTCAACATCCAGAACAGACTATTTTTTTTTTTAATTAAACAAGATAGTGTAGTAAAATTATGCCTTACATTGCACCAGCACTAAATGAGTTGGTACCATTTATCCTCTTTGCTTTAATCTTTGTACCTTGGTTCCCATGTGTGTAATGCTGAATATACTACCTAATGTTACTAAGAAGGTTATGAAGATAAAAATCTAAAATAGATCTAAAATACAGCATTACAAGCATTATGAAAAACCTCACAAAGAAATTAATATTCTGTGGTCAGTAAAAGATAAATAAAGGGCAAGTAAAGCCTGGGGCTCCATGCATGACTGAGGATAATAAAGGAACACTGAACGTGCACTGCTGGTGCACGGGGATCTTTTGGACAAACTAACAATTCCATGAACCTTGGCAATAATGAAATACGATTTCCTATGGATTTGGGTCTTGCAGTGAATTAAATTTGATATCCGCGATGCAAGCTCCAGCTGAAGTGGCTAGTTGAAGCATTTTTCAGTCTCTCTGTGTAGTCATGCCTGTCTAATACTGAATGAACTAATGAGGGAGACTTTCCTTTTGCAGAACACTCTGCCTTCTCCTCCACCTAGCACCTTATTTTCAAGGAACTCCTTGGGAGCTTAATTATCTTTTAGTCTGACCTGTCAAATTTGTTTAAAATCAGCTAGTAAATTCCAAAGGTACTTTAGGAGTAGAGGAATGGGACACATAGTGTAATCTCAAAAATCTTGTTGCCATAGGAAAGGAAGATAAAGAGATCAAGGAGGGACAGAATCAAGGCCTGCTACTTCTGAATGTTCATCTCAAATGACATCCAGCTGTTAAACATTAAATGTTACTCTCAACAGCACAGAGAAAGGTCCTAAATGGTTTTTGACTGTTCTCTGCTCAGCAGATATATGTTTATTTAATATTATATTAAACCAATCTTAGTAGTCAATCACTCTTGGGAGGTAGGCAGAATGTAAGTTTTGGTTAGTTTTATAGCAGTCTTCAGAAAAGGGCAAAAACATCTTTTTTTTTTTTTTTCCTTTTTGTTGAATACAGTTTCCCTCCTTCTGCTCCTAGTTTAGAAAAATACCAGCCACCACACCCACAAAGACAGAAGTACAAAGGCTTGTCATATTTTTTTAAAAAGCTAGCTGAGAAGAGTACTGCTCATCAGCCATGAAACCAAACACCACCAAAGCGCAAATACTAACTGCATTCTGGGTGGTATTTTGGGGGTTTGGTTGTTTTTGAGGATTGACTCACAAGTACAAGTAGTTCACTGGCAACCAGAAGCATTGTTAAGAAACAGCTGCCATCAATTAATGAACAGGTTTAGGCATATCTGAGACTTGTAAGAATCATGGATAAATAAAATACTGTTTTTATTTGTCAACGTGTATAAGCAAACCTCTGGAATAAGTTGTGTCATTAACATTCATTTCCACTGCAGCCTTTCAAATACAATCAAATCAGCTATTATTAACTGATTGGTTTGAAAATGGTGAGTTCTCAGAAATACAGCATGACTTCTTAGCTTAGCAAATAGCATCTGATATTGTTTTAATGAGAATACCCATGTAAATTAGAGCTGTAGGATTGAGACCCAGCATAGAACGGCAGAGATAAGGAATATCTGAAAGGTTAAGCAGCACTTTAGTTATCCGACTCACTGGGATACAGAATTCTTCTCCCTCTCTTAAGCCTACTACAAGTAAAACCACAAAAGAAGAGATAGGAAAATGCAGCACAAATAATGACAATACAAACTTGCCCTTTTTTTTTATGCCTGACACATTTTAATGTTTTTTTCCCAATCCTCCACTGAACCACAACTTGTTCTAAATTTCAAAAGAATGAAGCAGCTCATTACTTCTGTATGAGCTCTGTAACTCTGGACATTGATCTTTCCCATGGACAGGAGTGTTTTCTGTAGATTTAGTTAATAAAGAAATGCCCATAGTAGATGATGAATAATACTATATATAAAAATTCCTAGATGTCCTCACATTAATACAGCCTACTGCAATGCATCTGAAAATGGTCTACTGCTTGCCAGCTTATATCTTACTTCTGAATGACCTCCACATACTTCCCAAAAGCATGGCCATAATAGACTTTTCTAGGGAGTTCCTTAAAACAAGTTTCCTCTATGGGACCAGTAAAATAATGACATCCTTTCACTGAAGCATCTCATCAGTCTGGGACAGGTGGTCCTACTGCACAAGTAAGCAAGGCCCTCAGACATAGATGTCTTGGGCCAAAACTCTGTGCAAAGCTGTATCTCTTTTTTACAATCAGCAAGCACATATTTTACCACTACAGAATGGATGTACGAGTGATCTCAGACTGGCATCTATCGTGTCATTTTTCATGGCTACTAGTCACACTTCCTACTGCATTTTCCCTTCTCCAAAATTTCATCAGTCAGAGGAAGTTAAAATTCAAGTACTACATTCAGATTTCACAGTTTTGTGAACAAGCAAATTATTTTGTCGAACCTGAAAACCATGATGAAACTGTATGGTAGATTTATTTTTTTACTGTGAACTCTTTCTTACCAGGCCAGTGGCAAAACCAATTGGGCTAAAGGAGTGCTTGTTTAAATCAACAAATGCATTTCACTAAAAATGGCAAATTATACACCAAAGTAATGGTACGTGATGTCCCACTAGGGATTGCACACATTTCTAGATAAGGTGAAATGTTACTACAGACGAACTTGACAAATTCTCATGGACATATTTTCCAAACACACATAGATGCACGCAGAGCATACGACTGTCTTCTCAAGCAGTTCTAATTAAAGCCATGCAGCGGTATAGCATTTTTAACATGGCTTGAATTTGTTTGCACGTCCACATGACAAAACCCATGAATTTTCATGAAGATGAGCAGGGATACTGAAGTTCCACTTAAAATAAAATAAGTGCAGGCAATCTTGAAGTGATAAATACCCAAACGCTGCAGAGAATTGTCTCGGATCTTACCCAAATACACTGTGCAGAAATGCTTGCTTCATACATATTTGTCCTTGCAGGAGTTATGATCATAGCTATTGTTTCGTAGTTTTCAGGCTTCATACTAACAGATATATCCTCTATTTACAGTAGACAATGTCTTTTTCATTTAGAAGAAAATCAGATTTATCTTGAGACTTTTTGCCAACTATTCAAGGACCTGCCATTATCCTCCTGTTCTAAACAATATTTGACTGTTGAGTTGCTGAGCTTCATTTTAATGCTAAAGGAATCAAAACTGGTTTTTTAAAATTTTTTTAACCAGCTACAACTTGTGTTACTGCATAATACAACAGGATCTTGATTTAGAAGGAGTCTAACCCTGAGCTATTATTCTGACCACTCCCCTATGGCTACTTAATCAAAACACTGCAACTTGTGACTTTGTCAGTAATTTTGCTCATTTATCTTTATTATGATTTCAAGAGCATTCGGAATGGAAGGCTAGTTTTGTATAACTAATATTGGTGATGAATGGCAATGATAATACATTGCATGAAGAACATCCATTAATGTCTAAAATAATATCCTACTGTCTAAAAATAAATTGTGATGCAAAACATTTTCAGAGCTAATTAACAATAATTCAGTCCTACAAAAGTATTGCAACTCTGAGGACTAAGGACCTTTAAGCCAACACACTGTAGGTATTTAGAGATGGTGACTCTGACAGCTACAATATTGATTCTGCCACTAATTAACTCAAATCTTTAGGTCCTAATAACTTCAAAAGCACTAGCATAAATCATCCAAACAAACAGCTGTGAACTTTGGATAAAACATTGGATTGCTGAACATAAAAGGTCCGCTCATTCCATCAGCATGCAGCATCCTCACAGTGTGCATATTCTGCAGAAACCTACAGGAAAAAGGAATCTCCCTGGCACAGAAGTGGAACTACTCCAGAGCTGTTAACCTCTCCCTTGAAGAAAAGCGTGGGAAGTAAAGCCACAAATGCAATTTTCCTGAATTTTCACCTTCTCTCTGAACTGTATTTTACCTGCTCCCCTCTTCTGTTGTTCTCCTCCCACAATTCTCCCCCACACTCCTCCTGTGTATGTCTACTGCTGCAGGATTCCCCTAAAATATTAACTCCATAATACAAACACAGCACTGGCTGTGCTTTGCTAAACCTATTCTGTATCTACAACCTTGTTTACCCAATCTGTCAAGAAAAACCTCCCATTTTCTTTCTACTCAGAGAAGGAGCCTACCTTTTCCAGTATTTCCTTAGTCAAGACTGAGAATGCATCCTCAATGTTCACATTATCTTTAGCGCTGGTTTCAAAAAAGGGTATTCCATGTTCCCAGGCAAGCTGAAAAACAAATGTAGGCGATGGGATGAACAGTCTTTAGAAAAAAACCACTTCCTAATACTCATAGCAAGAGATACAGAGGTGTTCTGACAGCTGCTAACATGCTATATAAACACCGATTAAGTAAATGTCAGCTCAGTAAAGTACTCTATGTTCATCCTCAGTTTACACATTCCAGGTAACTCTTAAAACATTCTTCTTAAATTTCTGCATTTTCAAAACAGCTTTTTTAACCTATCGTTACTTGTAAATGAGGAGAATAAACTCTAGTGGGTCTGTTCTCAATGTTTTCATTTATTTGGAAAATAAACTGTCTCCTAGGCAATTATTTAGAGGCAACTAATGGAATGCCTGCAGAAAAGTATAGATAAAAATGGGACAAAAACTGTAGAAAAAGAGGCGTGATGAAATGTAAAAAAAGAGATGCTCCTTTTTACCAGAGAGAGAAAAGCACAGAGGTAATAGGAAAGAACAAATATGTATGCGAAAATATATTATGGTAATAGGAGAAGAGAGAAAATACTTAGAAGAAAAGGGCAGCATAGACTTTACATTGGTTGATTTTATTTAATTTACTCATGTTCTCTCATTTCCAGTTACTTCCCTTACAGATAGCTTTGAGATATGCTGGCATGAGGAAAAACAGAACAGAAGTCATAGCTTTTTAAAGTCCTAAACCTTTTCTACTTCATACAGTTAAATACATGGAGAAAAAGAAAAACTGTTGCATCATTGCCTCCCAAGGGAGGGGGCCAAGGCAGGAATAATATACGCCAGAAGAACATAGTGGGAGAGTCCCTCTGCAATGGATCCCTTCTCGGTACACATCTGGAGAAGACAATTGCAGACAAAGAATACACCCTACTGCTTATAATGTATAGAAAATCCTATAATTATTGACCACTTAATGATTTATTTGGAAGGCTCTCCATTAGGATAAAAAAATCTAATGTTGGCAGTTATGTTTGCTTTCAATGAGCTCTAGAAGTAACAAATCAATGCTTTACGAAAATTCCAAAATTAGGCAAGAAGGTACAAGAATTGGACTTCAAAGTTTTAGTCAAAATATAATACAGAGTATATTAAAGGTAGAAAAAAAAAAGCAAGCAAATGGTTTCAAAATGCTGTAAGAAAATGTAATTTTGAAAATAAAGATGACATCTGGACTGTTTCTTAAGACAGACTGCTTCATAAGGGATTCTAAAACTCCAGCTGATTGCTACGAACAGTTTTCAGTACTGCAGCAACGCGTTATGGAAAGTTAAGATCATCTGACTACTGGCAAGTGTCAATGCAAAACAATGACGCATAATGGTTCATTAAGAAAAACAAAGGCAATTTAAAAAAAAAGCTTATAAAGTACACAGAATCTACTAGTAAATAGTCCTTTTATTTTCTTGTGTCATGTAACAGGTTCCCAGAGGCTACCTATGTACAAACTCTGGTGAACATAAACAGAAATCAACTGGAAAGATAATCCCACTCAAAATGGCACTACTGCCTATATGATATGGGATCAGCCATGGCTTTGCCTATCTGAGTCTTGAAATCCACCAGTGATGGAGATTGTGTAATCTTTATGGGACCCTCTTCCATGGCTACATCACCATTCTAGTGCAATTGGTTCTCCTTATCTCCAACGTGATCCTCCCAAACCAGGACTCGTGTCTGCTGCCCCTTGCTTTATTGTCAGTCTCTACTGAGAAGAAGTCTATTTCTGTCATTCTTCTATCTACGCTTCAATTGCTGTAGACCAGGAGAAGGCTCCTTAGCCTCTTCTTTACCCAGCTCCCTCAGTTCTCCTCATGGATTACCGGTACTAGACCCCAATCATCTTTGTAGCTGTCTGGCTCAACCCTCTGCAGTTTCTCAAGAGCCTTCTTGAAAGGGGGGAGTCAAAGCTGGACACAATATTCCACACGACCTTGCCAGCACTAAGTAGAGGGGATAATAATCTTCCCAGATCTACCACCCATTATCCTTCTAATGTAGCCCAGCTACTTACATTTGAGCTGGTGTTCATAGTAACCTGCTTGTCCTTTGCAGCAGGGCAGTGTGTAATCCATCTCGGGTGTAAATCGCTGCACTTCTTCCTGAATTTTATGACGCTTCTGTTGGTCCAGTTCTCAAGTTTATCAAGGTCCCCCAAATTGGTGTTCTCTCATTTGGTGTGCCAGTCACACCCCCTAACCTCACATAACGTGCAAATCTCCTTGTATCATCAGTCAGATCACTGATGAAGATGTTGAACAACGTGAGCCCCACTACACACCCCTTATGTACCCTGCTTATTACTAGCAACCAGCCAGACATACAGCCTTCAACCGCTACCCTTTGCCACTGGTAGTCCAGCCAATTTTCAGTCCACCTAATGGTCCACTTGTCCAGCCCACACTTTCTAGTTTCCAAGTGAGGATGCCATGGGAGATGGTGACAAAAGATTTATTAAATTCAAGATATGTATCACAACCACCACTATTCCCTTGTCCACACAGTCATTTCCTGGCATCATAGAAGGCAACCAGGGTGGTGAAGCACAATTTGCCCTCTATTGATTATTCAGATTATCTTTGTGTCCTTTATGTCCTTGGAAAAGGATTTGATGACAACATGCTCCATGCTCCTTGAACTGAATGAAGCAAGGCTGACTGATTATAGTTCCCTTTACCCTCCTCCTTGCCTTTTTTTAAAGACAGGTGTCATGTTGGCCTCTTTCTAGTCAACAGGGATCTCTCCCAACCACCATGATTTTTCAGGGTTGACTGACAGTGGCTCCGATCACACTGACCAGCTCTTTCAGCAAAATCAGGTGAACTTTATAATGTTTATGAATGCATCCAACTTTCCTAAGAAGTTTCTAATCCAATGCTTTCCCACTGCTGGCTGACCTGCTCCTTCCCAAACCATGCCTATATATGCAGGGGTCTGAGAGAAAGCTCCATCCACGAAGACCAATGCAAAATAAAAATAAAATTGAATTAAAAAACCTTGAGTACTTCAGCCATGTCAGTATCATGTTACTACATTGCCTACTACACCTATCAATGCACTCCCATTTCCTATATGTACACAATATCAGTCAAAGAAGATTAATGTATGTATTATTCCAATTCACCTTGCATACTGATAAGTACTGTGGCAAGCAAGTCCTCTAAAAATATAGCTAGATGGAAAAAACCCAACAGTCCAGTGTTAAAGCAGTTGGAAGTACGAATACAGCTTTGGCTACTCCCTCTCATAAAGAAACTGGAAAGGCACCTCCAAAGAATTACTTTTTTTTGCCTTTGGAAGCATCTTGAATAGATCCATAAATAAAATATCTAAATACATTTACAAAGCTATGGGAATTATGCTGCTGGGAAATGTTATATTATCCTTGAGCACAGTTTGAAGATCGGGGGTGAAATAAGCTCATCTCTTACTTACAGTAACAAAATAAGTAATGTCAATATCTTTTCCAAAGTGAAATTTAATTCCAATTGTTCATTTCTTTTAACTCTAAATATACTACTTCCTAGCAAAGTGCTGCTATGATTTCTTAGTGTTGAATCAGAGAGATGTGTCTGAAATATTCTTAGAACTGTGCATTCTTTTTCACTTGTATTGTACCTGTAAAATCAGCTTTGCAGTCAGGCACATGAAGACAGCAAGAAAAAAAAAAAGGAAGAATATTTTACTTAGCTCTTTCTGTTAGTAAGATTTGATAGGAGGAAACCAGACACATTCTATCAAGTCATATAACCTTCAACATCTTTATTTTTCAGAGAAAAAGATAACATTATTGGAGGGGGGGTTGGGGAGTTCAAACTTTTCCCAAAGTGAATAAAAAGCTATTAACACAAGAAAATACTTCATAGTGTTAAAATTAAAGATATGAATTTCTGAGCAATCAACATTTCAAAAATTATATAATTGCAAAAAAAATATTCTCTGCATTAAATTAGTCTATAAAGTGGCATATGAAGGCCACTCAGTTATGACAGATTGTTACAGAAATGCCAACATACCTGATAAGATTCCCAGGGAATCTAGGGGTCTTCTCTGCAAGACTCTGAACAGAACAATACTTAAGAGCTCATACTCACAGGGTAACATGAAATATGTAAGTATGAATTATTTTGTGACAGAGTTAGGATCAAACTATTTTCCACTCTCAGTAAGGGTATTTTCTTCTTTGGAGTGAGAGGAATAACAGAGGAGGAATTAGCAGAGAGGAGTTCTCTCTCTGCTAATGGAATCTTTCTCCTGCTGGCTCAGTCAGATTCTTCAGCACTTGTAAATCACATTAAAAGAACTAGTATAACCGAAGATTTGCCTGGCCTCAAAACATTGGAGAAATCTAGAAAGCAGACTCACTGGTGAGGAGGTAATGATTTGTTTCTAAAAAAATACTACATTAAGAGAAATTTTGATTGCATGCTTTAGTACACAGAAGTCAGAAAATGTCACGGTTAATACCATATGCAAAACCCTACTACTGCCCTCTTGTGCACACGCATCCAGTGACTCGTTAGATTTCTAACAGTGCATTCATTCTTTGAGTGAGAGGATGCATGTACTTTTCAGCAACCTTATTCCTTCTACACAGATATAGTACATTAACATTGAAAGCGTCTTGCAAACGAACAATGAACTTCCAAAAGTTTCTATCTGTAATGCTGTTGAAAAGGTGATGCTATTTCTTGAAGTTCCCTAATCTGGGGTTATATAATTGGCAAGAAATTATCAGTGTTCCTTTCTTCAAACAGAAGACATCCTGCCTGACTCACCATGCCTGAAAGCATAATGGAAGGAGTCATTCCAAGTTCCAGACAACAGATCCATACAGTTTGCAGTTGCAAAATATACTGGTATATAGGACAAGCTCTCCTGTGACACTGAAGTCATTATCACAATTTCTTCTGCCATAGCATGGCTCCTGGATTTCCTCACCAGTTCTCAGTCAGAGTAATTTGCCACTGCCTTTAAAACAGCACTCCCCACTCAACACCAGTTCTTCCCCTACACATGGTGAGCAGGTATAAACTATACTGCAGTCTCAGATGTACGACACATACACAGAGCTAGGGAAGCTGGACGTTCCCTAAATGTATTTGTCCAGTATTATTTAGGGCTATTCACAGACAAGGCAGATCACAGCGCACAGGCTGCCACAATAGTTCTTTACAGAAAAAAAAAAAATCATTGATGGGTGCATCAGGTACCAGAAAAATTATGCAGAATGTATTATGCATTATATTTAGTATTCCACATTAAAGCAGTACTCTGAAAATGCAGACTCTAAAATAGTTTTAATTCAAAATACAAGATTTCTATCATAATGCCTAAAACTTTTAAAGTACATTTTAACCTTTAAAATAAAAATCAGTATTCTAAAGAGATCAGCTAGGAATTACTTAATGTATTTCTGCTCATATGTAAAGAAAAAACCCACAACACTCCAGAACTCCAAAACTCTGTTTCTGAAGCAAACAGAATTTTTGGAATTAAGGAACTTTGTATAATTTTCAGTGTAACAGCTCACAGTCAAATACTAAGATACACAGGAGAACCCAAAGAAAGTACCAGTGATCAATGATACCTTTTCTCCTTTCTGTTTTGGAACTACACGTTCTGACTCCTTATCACACTTGTTGCCCAACAGTATTACGTCCACTTCATCACCTGCTTTCTAAAAGAGAACCAGCATTAATAAGTGTCAAGTAAGAAAACAAAACAAAACAAACCAAAACAACAAAAGCCCTTCACCTTCAGCTCACAGTAACCTTCAAACTTCATTTCCTTGAAAGTAAGGGCAAAATTCTGTCCTGATCTTTTCAACTGTGGAAATATTTCCTATCAGTTACTGGGATTCGGAGGAAAATGGCAAGATTGAAAAGAGCAGAAAAAAGCCACTTACAAGTGCAGGGCATAACTTGCAACCCCTTTCATAAGGTAAAAAGTATATGGTGCATGGGCACCATCTTCTGATGAATGCTCCAACTTGAGGCTTCAAAGCGACTGGAAATGCTCTGAATTCAGACACTGCACTCCCTAAAGTAACGAGTTCACGGATTAGCACATTTGTCTGGCCTATATCCAGCACTCAGGAGTAAAAAGGAAGTTGCTGCACCTGAAAGAGCACCTCTCTGTGCTTCACTTTTGCACACAGACAGTAAAATTACATCCAAAATGTTCAAACTCAACAGAAAAGTTTGATTATTCCAAGACACTAAGAAGGCGGCAATAGATTTTTAATGAAGTAAAATTTTAAAACCTCATGGATTTCAAAGGGAAGAAAAATCTACCTTTTTGACCTTGTCTCTATCCTTCATTCCACTAATCCAACTGCATACATGATGCCTGTGAAATGCCTCTACATCAGTGTTATTTTAAGATAAGCCATTGTAACTATACATGACTGGAATAATGACGAGGAAAGCGAACAGTTCTGCAACAGCATGTGGAACTTGAAAACTGACATTTCTTGTGAAAATCATAATATTTAAAACCACTTTTGGTGCTTAAATGGAGGAACCTGAGGGTCTCAATCTAGAGACAATTAAAGCTAACATGGTCTGATCCCATGGCTTATATTCTGAAAGTACATGCTCACACAGCTTCTCTGGTGACTCAGAAAGCCCGGTCCCAGGCTGCAGATCTTCTCTCTACAAGGATGTAGATGAAATCTCTGATCTCTGCCAAAGTCTTAATTTTTATAACTTTGCCATAAGACAAAACCAGGCGCAGACAATTGTTTTCGCCAGAGCTCACACATGTACACAAGGAAACATGTACTTCCCTTCAGAGTAATGCAAAGAAAAACATCTATTCATTAAGAAATGAAATCTAATCATTAAGAAAGAATCATTATTTTTAGTCTATTTGCACTTTTATAACGAAGTTACCTCATTTGAAGAATACAGCAGGATACACAATTTATTATTAAGGAACACTATTTCATTTTTTTTAATCCACTCTCATTTCAGAGTCAGCTAATCTCATTTCATAACCACAGCTGATGTTCAAGATAATGTAGTATTAAAATGAAGTAAGCTCATCATAAGAGTACAAAGTACAGGCCTAAAATAATGAATCAATCTAACCTGGATTAATAGACCAAAATGTTGGCTGTTTCAGAATGCACTGAAGCTTTACTCATTAAGGTCAATGGTTCTCCTACATAAAATTGCATACATCAGTCCCTAAAATAGGGTAAATAGACAATTTAATCTCATCACATAACCAACTTTTTAAGACTGTATGTAACTGAAGGGACATTTGACTTTAGTCTGAAGTAAAAGGTCAAAGGGAAATACTAGCACACCTTCTATACAAAACCATGAAATCTTTCCTATAAATGTACGTCTGTACAAACAGCACAAATTTTTTCAGTAGGAGTGTTCTTTCTGAACAGCTTCAAATAGTAACAAAATTTAAAGAAGGTTAGAGATATCAGGCCAGTAAGTGTTTATTTCAGCAAATAACTACTATTTCTACATTAATATAATGTAATAATGTATTTTCACTTTGACTGGATTCTCCACCAAGGCACTGCAAATGCTCCGGTTTTTAAAGATGATATCTTGCAATTTCTTGCTTTTAGAAAATTAAAGAATATACACCAAATGACGTCCATTTTAAATTTTGAAAACTGATTATACAGATGAAGTCTTAAAAAAATAAGTCACTATGACTAGGCAGAAGTTTGACCATGTGCTCAGTTGGCACAAAAATTGCAGAGGTACACTGATTTGAATTGGCCAAAAATATTGCTCTTCAGTGCTTCCAAAAGCTCACTGTGTATTTTCATCCTCTTTTATTTATAGCTCAGGAATAAGCTTTCCAAATGCAAAATCTATAGCTAAAAAGAGGATACTTATTTTACAGTTGTTAAGATGCTATTATGCAAGTCAGCACTGACTAAGCTAATAAGAGTCAGGAATCATTTTTTTTCCCATGTCATGGAAAAATACTATTAAAAAATTCAACAATTTTGTCAAGGCAAAAAAGAAAAAAAAATTTTTGAGAAAAAAAAAAAAGTGTTTTGCTTTGGTATCTCAAAACCAGATACGTCCAGTTTTTTTGTTAACTCTCTTCAGCTTTTTTCTTGAGGTTTTAACATTTGAAAGCTTACATTTTACTTAAAAATAATCTGAACTTGGAGAAAACCTAGCTTACTTTTTTTTTTTAAAATGTCCCAAAATGAAATATCAGCACTGTATTTCTCTCCAAAAATTTAAGTCGAGACTGACCAAGTTTTTTGGAAGAGCATGGAGTCATTAGGTTTCAGCAAAAGGTTTTTTTTACCTCGCTGGTTTCTCTGGCAGCTGGATCCGGTGTGAGCCAGGCTGCTGTGACCAGTGGCCACAGGAGGGAGCAGTGCCAGAGCCTGAATCGAAGCGGTGCCAGGGACCGGACTAGGCACACCGGATTTGCATGCCGTAATACCACGGTGCGCTTTAGCAGCCCGCTCTGAGAGAAGCCATCCATCCATGCCCTGAAGAAATTACAGTACTGCTCAACTTTCACCTAGCCCGTGCATCCAACCAGGTAAATACACAAGTCCTTGACTATGAGGCTATTAACAGAAACCAAGAATGCAAAAGGAAAAATATCTTGCTCATCCCTTTTGCATGGAATTCCTTTTTTTGTTAGGTCTTTTTTTCTGCACTTGTTCTCATTTTGGGAAAACCATCCCTTCACTTTTTAATGGTGAGCACAGACCCTACCGTGAATGGCTGCCCTCAGCCTCCTCTGCAGCAAACTGACTGTGATTGTCCAAAGCTCAGCCAGACTCCTTGTTGTATAAAGCTATCTATCCAGAACCAGCACCTCATCCCTCCCCACATTTCCAGGGCGTAGCTGTGCAGGGCTGCGTGATTTTGATACTCACTGATTACAATTTGAAAAGGGAACAGAAGTTTGTTGCAGGTCCAAACACTGAAATCAAGAACCCAGATCTGATAAATACACTACAGTAGTGCTTAACTACTTTGTACCTGAGGAAGAAATGTAGCATTGATATCATTTTTCCAATTTGAAGATGAGACACAACTATGCACGGTCACACAGCAAGATGAAGGCAGAGCTGGGGAAGGCTGTAAAGGCGGGAAGTTTCTTCCTCCTACTCACTAGACAATGACGGTAGAAATTGACCCTTTGTATTAATGAAGAATAATTTGTTAGGAATACACTGTCCCCATAATCTCTTTGACAGCATCACATGGGCAGTGTTCATATTATGATTGCTATACGTGTCTCCTTCCATATATTTTTCTAAAAGTGCCGCATGATGACCTCAGTTACAAATGCCTCGTTTCCAGGACTTCAGTCGAATTCTACAAATGATAGAATTTTTCTATTAGCAAACTTAGACTTGATTAGATATAAACTAATTTATCTTCACACTAGTCTAGGGTTAGAGATAAACTAATTTAGCAGAGTGACAAGAACAAGAATTTTCTAACCACAGTAGTAACAACAAACCCATCTATGAACTGGAACAATTAGATCTTTTTGGCACCAAGCTTTCCCATCTAAAGAAAAAAAAACTCAGAAGAGTTTGAAGTCAAACTAATTTCCGTTTGTAAAGCATTTTGCTGTGGTGCTTTAAGTATGATGCAGAAACACTGAACTCTCAAATGCATCTAATGCACAGAACCAGAAAGGGGCACTATGAATAAATGGCAGCAACCTGACACACCCATACATTTCATAACCTGGTTGAGGGGTCACTTCTTTCAGATAGCATAAACAGAAAGCTAATATATTCCAAGAACACTAAATTATGTCACCAATACTTGCTACTGCATGAGAAATCTGTCTTCACCCATGCAAAAAATCCTGTGCTAGCCAAGAATTTCCAGCACAGAGATAATTTTTAGGAACTGGTAATGCCATCTTCATGGCCACATGTCCTGGTTTCAGCTGAGAGGATTGATTTTTCTTCATAGTAGCTAGTGTGGGGATATGTTTTGGATTTGTGCTGGAGACAGCATTGATAATATAGAGATGTTTTTGTTCTATGGACTTACTGTTGAGCAGTGTTTACACGGGGCCAAGGCCTTTTCTGCTTCTTGCACTGCCCTGCCAGCGGGATGGCTGGGGGTGCACAAGGAGTTGGGAGGGGACACAGACAGGACAGGTGACCCAAACTGACCAAAGGGATATTCCATACTATATGACGTCATGTTCAGTTTATAAGGAGCTTGGGGGAAGGGGGGGAGGGGGGGCAGCGGCATTTGGAGCGATGGCATTTGTCTTCCCAAGTAACCGTTACGCGTGACGGAGCCCTGCTTTCCTGGAGATGGCTGAACACCTGCCTGCCCATGGGAAGTGGTGAATGAATTCCTTGTCTTGCTTTGCTTGTGCGCGCAGCTTTTTGCTTTACCTATTAAACTGTCTTTATCTCAACCCACGAGTTTTCTCACTTTAACTTTTCCAACTCTCTCCCCCATCCCGATGGGGGGGGAGTGAACGAGTGGCTGCGTGGTGCTCAGCTGCCGGCTGGGGTAAAACCACGACACCACACCAGGAGACTAGCACAGTGAAAACCAGTCCAATGTATTTAAAAGCACATTAGGACCTACTATCTATGTCAAAAGTTTTTGGAGACCTAGATGCCGTGCATGAATCATGGAGTGATTTAGGTTGGCAAGGACTCCTGGAAGTCATCCAGTCTAACCCTGTGCTTGAAGAAGGACCAACTTCAAAGTCAGGTCAGGTTGCTCAAAGCCCTGTTGAATCGAGTTTGAAGTATCTCCAGATCATCTCTGGACACCTGTTTGAGCATCTGACCACTTTGACCACCATCATGAGGAACTTTTTGCCAATACGTTAGTTGGAATCTTGCTCAAAACATCCAGGAAAGAACCATTTTCCACAAATGGGATTTGGTACATAGTTACTTGTATTTAATTTTTTAAAGGCCAAACAGAATCAGCCTTTCAGAACAGCTGCATACAATAGCTAAAAGTCATGTCAGCACACAAGAGGAACACCTTAATAAATTGGACATTACCTGCAACCCTATGAATAAAGAATGGTTTCAGGTTCTAAAGTAATTTTCCTGCAATTATCATGCCCCTAATGAATGCATAACAAAACCAATATACCTGTACTGGATTTGCCAATAATGTCCTCAGATATTAATCTCTGAGTATATTTTTCTAATAAATACTAATAAATAAAAAACAAAATAATTTGTTCTGAATACAAATTTTACAACAATACAGATACAGCAGCATATTTCTGTCTTGAACTTCCTTGAACAATAATTCACTTTTAATAAGAAAGTTGCTGTATTCCACACTCAAAATAATTGTAATACAATGAGAGCATTACTGGTAGTCTGTAATAGCACTCACTGGTCAGTTTTTATAAAATCAATGGAGTTTTTAGGAATGCTAAATTGCTTAGATTGTTATTTTCAATTGTTGTAAAAGTGGCTTAACACACTAAACAGATTTTTAAAAAACCTTCTGTTTAAAATCTCTATGCACAAAAAATTAAAAAATGAAAGTGTAATGTAATAACTGAATTGTCTCCAAAAATCCTGTTTGCTTGGTTCAGGTGCAAACTCTACATTACCTATTAGTCTGATGTTTAATGAAACCTGTATCTGTTTCCCTTTTAAATTTTTTTTAATTTTTCTAGCCTTGCACATTTTTAAGGGTGCTCTGGCAACAGCTACTTTGATACTGGGCATGTGTGGGGAATTACATACTGGTTTGCATTTACAGACCAAAGTAAATGGAGAGAATGTCACCAACCTCCAGTGAGTAATTAATTTTCATGAAATGCCCTGTGTTTTAACAATTATTGCTTTAAAACACTTCTTTTGCAGTGAATGGCCCCATATATTTTCACCAAGACACTTCAGAAATTGATATCCCACTAGGACTAAATTAAATTTTTTATTATTATCTAGCTCCATTACAACACTCACTAATTGCTAGTTTTGAGATTGGTACAATCGATCATGCAATTTACATCCCCAGAAATTGTTTTAAATGGAGTATTTTTCCATTTTTTAAATTTTAAACTAACAAAGTACCTTCAGGGGTTAAGATTAAACAATTTAAGTATTAATAGCTTGAGTACGTTTACACAAAAGCTTTTAAGTATCACAAACAGCAAGCAGGCTTGTGCAGATACAATTTCTTGATTGACTTAAGCAGTTCTACAAGGGCTAGTCCCATCCTTCTCTCCGCCCTAGCCACACAGTCCTGATACTGTCTTTGTGTTTGTGGTTGCGCGTTGTAGCCCACTGAATCAACCATCCTGTTGATCTAATTAAAGATGACAAAATTACCCTTTTGGAGGCAGTGTGAAGACAGATCAGTATTTTATATATAAATCTATACACACAGATAGATGCATATTTATATATAATCTACATTTTCAGCTTCAAATAACAGTAAACCTACTATCAGCATATTATGTGCTGAGTTAAATCTTAGGCTAATCATGAAACTGTACAACCAGTAGCATATCTAGCTGTGGCTTTATTGGTTGTCTAACAGGAAAAGGACACACACTTTTCATAGCAAAATAATGAATCATATTTGTTAGTTTGAAGTGTGTGCAGACAAGCCAGTAAGAGTATTATATCATCAAATCTCCTTTGTAACACATTACTGAAGTTAGGCTCTGTTGACACTAAGACTTTTAAGATAGCTCTAAGGTCAAGAATAATGATGAACTAGGTCACCATACTAATGGTCTTAATACTGAGGTCATGTAAATGTAGTATTTTACCAACGGTATTAGATATCCCAAGTATACATTATTGGATATATGACCAGGTTTTTATGGTAATTTATTCATTCTTCTGCATACTGAAGCTGTGAGGAGAGAAAAGGACATGTTTGATGGTTTTATTTCGAGCCTGCTTTCCTAAGATGAACTCTCCCATCCATCGTGTCATATTCCTACAATTCACAGAGCATTATAAAAAAATGCTTGAATGTTTACTTGATACTAATCAAACAGCATTATCTTGCTTGGATTCTTACACAAGCACACTAACTCATACAAGCATGCTAACTACAAACTTGGATGTTACCACTTAGGGTGACCTCATTGCGCTCTACAGCTCTCTGATAAGTGGGAGAGGGAGGTGCTGATCTCTCCTCCCTGGGATCCAGGGACAGGACACGTGGGAATGGCTCAAAGCTGCACCAGGGGAGGTTCAGACTTGACATTAGGAAGCATTTCTTTACCAAGAGGGTGGTCAAATGCTGGAACAGGCTTCCTAGAGAGGCAGTTGATGCCCCAAGCCTGTCAGTGTTTAAGAGGCATTTGGAAAGTGCCCTTAATAACATGCTTTAACTTGGGCAGCCCTGAAGTGGTCAGGCAGTTGGACTAGATGATTATTGTAGGTCCCTTCCAACAGAACTAGCCTACTGTAAAACTGACCTCCCTTTACCTAACAAAGAACCTATCACGACAGACCTAGCAATACAGACTCAGGGTACTGGGTTACAGGTGGCTGAATGATCTAATGTCTAAGGGCTTGCCCACTCCTCCCTCACACTGTTCTCACACATTCTTCTTCTGGCCTTTCTACTCCTACCCATTTATCTTGTGTCAACTCCAATAAGTGTCAGACCTTTCTATGAACCTCTTAAGACTCACTGATGCAGCAGAAAACCATCCAACTGGTTTTGCTGGGTTAGTTTTCTACCATGTTAGAAAGTCAGAGTGAACCTCAGAGGGCTCTGACAAGCTCCAGAAGCAGCACGGTGGGAGCGAACAGTCAGGAGCAGGAAGGGAGGTGGGAACACACTCCCCATCTGGCAGCCATGTGCTGTTGAATCACTTCCTATGTCACATGAAACCATGTGTTTCTGGCTGCAGTAACTCAAGCAGCTGAGCTGACCAACAGCTCACTGCCACCAAAAAGGGATTCTCCTTTTTCTCCCCCAGTTCCTCCCTCTTGATATCCGACAAGGATGAGGATGACGTTTCATTTGATTTGTTTAATTTGATTCTTGGGATGAGGTAACTACACTAAAGTAAGGAAATTAGGAAAGGGAATTCACTGGTTGTGATGATACGGAATTTTGACATGTTAGCCAATTAAAATCCTGGGATGAGCTCATGGAGACTGGCTTGTGCGTAGCCACACCAGTGAAAAAAAGCACCATAACTCAGCATGCGCAAAACCGGATCGAAAGCTATGTTTTAAAAGTCCTTCAGAAAACACTCCTGCATCACCATGGGCTTGTTCTGCATAATCTACATTGTATTCCAGTTTCAGGTAACAGTAATCCTTTGATCATACTGTGTGCTGAGTTAAATGTAGGAAATCCCAGTTAGAAACATACAGCTCAAAGAATAAGAATAAATCTCATACGGAGATTTAAAACATTAACTGCAGTAATTCATTAATTACCTTCATTAAGAGATCAACCACTGTTAGATATATTTACCTCATGTATGTCTTTCATCCAGCCTGTTATACTTTGAAAACTGTCCAGATTTGTGATGTCATAAACAAGAACAAAGCCTTGTGCACCACGAAAATAGCTAGTACTAAGTGTATGGAATCGTTCCTGGCCAGCTGTATCCCTGAAAGAGATTGTAAGAAATCACACACACACAAACAAACAAAAAGATGATCAAACTGAAAAATCCTAAGGAAAATGACTTTATTTTAAGAAATAGTGTCCCAGTTTTGAATGGTGTACCCTAATATGAAAGGAACAAGAAAAGATAAGGATGAGAGAAAATCTGGCTGCCAGATACAGCAATGAAAGAAATACAATGGAAATTTATTCTGAATAACACTGCCCTACTGGGAAAGCTAAACCAGTGGTTGAAGTCTGAGTGTAACTTCAAGCCCACCATTGCTTCTTTATATGCAGTTAACCATTAAGATCAGTACAACTCAGGTGATAAAAAAATACCTGGAGTGCAAGCACTGCAGGAGTCAGATGACATCCCATATTCTGACAAGCCCTTCGTAACCAGTCACACAGACAGTAAGCTGGTTTAGATGGAAGGTAGGCTGGGGGAAAAAGCCATAAAATACAGAGATGCAGAGATTCCTCTACATAATTATGCCTTAAGAAAGGTGTAAACAAGCCTCTGAGACTTTTGTAATAAAACCCGAGATGGAGTAACTGCAGATCTAATAGTGGTCTAATACTGGATAAATCATATGCAGAGTTACTTCTTGAGAAGTTAATTTCTGGTGAATATAGATAACCTTCAGTATTGGATGCTTGGAGAGATGGCTGCCAGTAGCCCTACAGAGCCTTTAGAAAAAACTCAAAAACCAAAAATAGTATAGATTCCCAAAGATTCAGCTTACTAGCTTTCTCTCGGTGATCCTTTTGAACATGCATTTGATGGGTAATGAAATGTAAGATTTTCTGCCTTTGTCACTGCCCTCAATGTTCCCATACAATTAAATATATTCAATATGGATCATAGATCTGTATTGTTTGTATGCTGCAACAGCAAAATTGTATTGTTAAAGCAACCTAGCGACAATCCTCTTTTTAACTTACATTAGTTGCTGCAAAAAATATCCTCCCCGAGGTCAAATTAAAATTTTAAAATTACCTAGGTAGGAACAATTGCACTTTAGGAAGACACACAATTAAAAGCAGATGACATTTTTCATGCTGTAATTTAGCTGGCTCTCATTTGTGATATAAATTAAAACTTACCATATTTGAAGTTTCACTCTTGTATCATTAAATGTTACTGGCTTCACTTTAAAATCAATGCCTAGAAGAAAGAAGAAAATCTGTAACATTTCTCATAATAACATGGCTTCCCTTTGAAGATTGTTTCTTAGCTCTAGTTATCATGCAATTTTGAACCAAAAGTGAAAAGGAATGATATCAAACAAAGAATAACTAGCCAACCATATACATTCAAAATGGAAGTTGTAAAAGGAAATTATTCAATGGTGAACACAACTATGTGCCAATGCATTACACGAACACAATACAAAGCAATGCCAATACAAAGCAATGGAGGGGCAGGCCAAAGCAAAGGCGCAGATACTCTGAAACTACATGTACATATTTCCATGAATAGGCAAGTGGCACGACAGCAGTTTCATGGCCTGTGCGCAACAACACTTGGCAATTTGGTGATTTCAGATGTTTCCAGTTTCACTACAACAGCATAGCAGCTACAAATGGGGAGGTAGAAATGCTTACAAAGCTGTTACATGTGCAATGCCATTTTCCTGTCCTTACTTCCGATCCCTAAAAAAAACCATCTAGGGTTACATGAACAGGAATAGGAATTAGCTGTACTAGCTAAATGCAAAGACAAACATACACTGGAGTTCATTCAAAATGAAGAGGACTGTCTCTACCACCTTAATCTCTGTGTATCCCAGATCCAGAGTGCTAACGCTAAAATCAAGCTTTAGCATTTGAAATTTGTGCAGAATGTTGTCTCTACAAACAATATAGATCTTTCCTCAAAGATATGCTCCTTATAATTTATAGTGCTTTCCTTCATTATATTACCAAATTAGTACTCCAAATGTGGTAGATGATACCTGGATTTACGGCTTGTTGAAGGTCCAAACTCAACATTAGAATCTGCCAGCTCTAAGTTGCCATCTTAGATGGATGCATTTCCTCATAGTTAACTATTTTTTCCCCAATTACTTTATTGCTGAAATTTGAAATACCATTTGATAATTTCTCTTTTTTTTTTTTAACTGAAAAACAGTAAGGCTATTTTTGTCAATTATATTAAGTGAAGGTGACATTGCGATAGCTAACCATATTCCACGGTCAAAATTCCCTAAGGTCAAAATATGGCTACTTAACATGACTTCAGAGTGGCTTTTTTACCTGTAGTAATGTCACTTGAAAGAACTAAACAGATTGAAAAAGCACAAAAATTTTAAGTTAACACCATTGCACTGATTTCTGCAAGAACCTATCATCTGCCAAATTACTTTATCAAAGGAAAGCATCCATGGCAGTAAACCAAAAATGCAGTAGAGAAAATGCTCCCTTCCTTTTTACTTCTGGATGTATTGTGCACAGAACTTTAAGCACACTCTCCCATGCACGATTCCAATGCTATTAACATTTTTGTGTGTATGTGGTAAAAGAGTTTAGGTAGATTTTTAAAATTATTATGATAATCATGTCCTTCACTTGATGAATTTTTATTGAAGCTCCAATGGAAAGGAAAGATGAAATAATATAATTGGTATCTGTAATTAGTATTACACAAAGCTTCCTTGATGGAATTAATAATGTCAGATGGAAATGTAATTTAAGCCAAATTTGCTCATGTAAGGTGAAATTCTGACATGATGGAAAACATTTGCTCCTGAAATTCACAGGGTTTTGTTTAATTATCTGTATCACTTTCTACAGTTGATGTTAGAGCAGTTGAGAGGGACAGACTACATACTGGAATGTCACTTTCAAATGGTGCATTGGGAATGCAGCAAAAAAATTATAATCCAGCCAGGGATTCCCAGACCTATAGGAAACAGTTCTAAGTTGACATACATTTTAATAATAAATTGCTATAAGCTTTTTTTATTATTATTTACAAAAAGGGAAGCAGAGTGCTGAATCAGACTAAAACTTAATCTAAATTAAAATAAGGCTTATTGACTACTTAAGTCAACTTCAAAATTTATTGACCTAAAAGGTCAATGAATGTTAGTGAAAAACAGAAGTCAATACGTTCTGCATGCATGAATTGTTCATGTCTTTATATGAAATTTCCAGCAAACTTAGCAAATTGGAAAGACAGAAAAGAAAAATGAGAAATACAATGCCAAAGACAGCTCACAGATCTCAGATGCTTTTAGGCCCATGTATTATACAATATGATCAACATAACAAAGCCAGCATTGATTAATGCTCCTGAGATAAATGTTATTTGAATGCAACAGCTAGTACTTGCTTCTTTTAAGCTGTCAAATATAACCAAGAAGGGGTATGCTAGGTACAAGTTCAAATTCTAGTTGTTATTTCCCAGTTTTATAGCCATGAGATTAATTTCTTTATATTCCAAATAATAAATATGCCCATATTAGGACTGATGCACCTTAAAGATAATCGGATCTAAAAAGCATCAAAATAGTCAGCCACAGGGGAATTCAGCTGTGAATTGCCCCTCTCTTCCCTCAATATCTATAAAATAGTCTGGCTATCTGCAAAAGTCCTCTTCAAAGAAAATTACAACACACTTTTCACCCCAAATACAGCTGGCAAGTTCCTGATATAAAAGGCTCCAAAAAGTATGTCTACCCAGAGAAAATGCAAGTTTGAGCAGCTTAGCAGAATGCAACAGTGACAGCATGGACAGAGGGTGGTACCCGCCCAAGTGCAGGTTCTCCCTAGTGCACTTAACTGTCACACAGTGTCTCCAACTCTGGGAACAGGGAAGCAGTCGGTATCAATTCCTGTGCCCAGGCCAGGGCAAGCACCCAGTGAGATGTCATAGGTCGAGTTTCCAACGCATTACTCTTACCCATACTTAGCCCTTACTAGCCGTTGGTGCATTACTTGAATCACACTCTTCTCCTGTGCATGTCAAGGAATAACTGAAGCGGAGTGGTGTCTGAGCAGTCACAAGTACTGATAATTACTGGTTTGGTAAGAAAAGCAACTCATGGGATAAGATGGTTAGGAAAGTGAGAGTGACAAAAATCCAGCCTTGTAACAAAAAATAAAAAGAATTAAGTTGCAGGTTACTACTAGTATAGTTAATACAGGACATGTTTACCTTCAACATGGTTCATTTTTGTTGATTAACTCTACTTTACTTCCTTCTAAAGTGAGTATCAGGGAATCTACACAGACTTCAGAGCTGGTTCTCTTATTCACTGTGCATTAGAAATAAATGTGTAAATCATTTGAATTTGCAACTTCACTCTTAATAATTTTTTTTTTTAATACAGGCATTAAAAACCAAAGGTTTCATTTTGAGGAAAAAGCCAATATAAAATTATCTTCTTTTTTTTTTTTTAATCCTAAAGTGGGAGTTGCACCACTTTCAACTATGACAGATTTCAGAGGACTCACACCTCTACAGAAATGTTTCTCACAGAAAACCTGTGCGCACAGCCACCGTAATACAGCAAAATAACAGCCTCCTGTGAGATCACAATCCTGTTCACTTGCATACAGGGTTGGGTTTTTTTGTTCATAAACTTTCTCTATGGCTTTATATGCGATGCCATTGTTTAAACAAAAACATTTATTCTTTATAGTCTATTCATAATACAATGCATCTGCCTTATGATGCGTATAAGTTTAATTAGAAAACTATAACTGCTTATAATTTACCCAAACTGCATAATTGAAGAGGAGGAAGGGCACCCAGCCTTGAGTGTTTAAGTGCTGCATAAAAAGCTTTCAATGAAAATTTACTGTGGATGCAATCTTTTTTTCACAAAATACATTATTTTAGAAAAAATCACCACTACTAGAGCCTACTACAAAATGTTTGGGTTCTTCCCCCCACCCCCACAGTAACACTAGGATTTTTCCTAGTAACACAAACCTGTGATTCGGCATGAATGAGAAATGAGACTTTCAGCCACTTTTAACTTCTGTGCCTACAACCCTTTGCCACTAAGGAAGGTGGTGGCATATGATTTTGTCAGGGAACTTGGATGGTTGAGATATTGCACAGCCCAGATAATCTTCCCTCTACTCAAATCACCGTTCCAGCTGGACAGGTAGGGTGAAAAATCAATTAACATCAGATGAGCATTCAATAGGCTGCATATTTGACTGAGCTTGTATGAAACAGGCATCCAGATGAAAACAGCTATTTGCTTTGATCATGTCAACAAAGAGGGAGAAGACATCACAAACAGAAAAAACATTGCATTGTGTCTTCTTCCTTTACACCATCATGGGCCACGACCTACTGGCCACGCTCTCAGTTGTAGCTGTCTTCGTGAAAAAGAAACTTCCACTTCCAACATTACTCTTTTGGAGGCCATCGCTCACAATCCCATTCGTTTTAAAAGTCTAAGCTCTAATACATCTCCTAAAATGGAACTGAATGGAACACCGTATTTCAGAAATAACTTTAAAATCACATTCGCGTAAGAAATACCACATTTGGATGATTCATTTATATTTCAGATAAACATTTAAGAAGTTTTTAAATCTCTCAAGAATAGGTTTCAGGAACAGTAATAAAACTGATAAGGTTAATCTCAGCCCGTAACTGTCACAAAACTCTTTTATCTTAACTATTCCTTAAACTATTTCAACCCACAACTTGGAAAATATATTCTTAATATCATCACCATGCAAGAGTTTTTGACTCCACGCTGGACTGAATTAAGAGTAAAAGAAATTGTGTCTCAAAATAATAACTCTATGGTCAGGAATCCATGCTTCAATATCAAACACATCAACAAAGCTGATGTTTATTTCACGGCCATTCTTTGGGACTCCCTGCTAAGCCTGGTAACAAGTTGCCGGTTATAAAGATGAATTTCACGACTTTACTGCTAGTTGCATTCTTCCCTTTCTGTTTGTGTTGGTTTCAGAAGCTGCTTTGCAAGAATGGGCGAGAAAATAAAAAATGGTTTAAGTTCAGCTGTTCCCATGTGGGCAGGTCAAGTCACCTCACATACATTAAGTGTTCCCTGGACCAAGTGCTGCCACAGCTACTACCTGTTATTTATTCAGTTAAACCAACTCCGCGCACACTGAAAAATGTATAAAAGAGCCATGCATATTCCAAATGCAGGAACACACAATTTCTGT